GGTCTTGACTCTCTTGTGACTTCTGCAGCCGCAGTAGGCACCTTCGGCAACTAGCTTGTGTTGTAGCAGCACCAGGTGCTGGAAGCTTTAGAAATCCAATCAATAGCAAAGCTAAAGGAAAAAGGACCAAGAATCTACAAGTTACGCTATACTGTCCACTAGCACCACCAGTTACTAAACAATCAGCTGATGCGATAACATTGCATGGCACTGACCGACGGTACGGACAGTACTGTAGCTTCTGGTCCTTTTTTCTTTACTAATTTACCCTTGGCTCTCCATCCGAGTCCAGTATCAAAGCTCCCTGGCTTTGGCAAATGAGGTAACGAGATGTTACCATGCGTCAGTGGAAATGATGACTCACAAGGTCGGTATCGACCTATCTAAAGAATAGGAGATGCTTGGATGCCTTCTCATTGGCGATGCATGCAGCCAGGCTTGTTGGAATTCCAAATGCTAATTCCTGCTACTGAAGTACCTACATCATTTTATGTTATTACAGGGTGCGACAGAGCTCCCGGCCGTTGAAGAAAATGTTGATATCTCCTCCACCGCTACACTGCGCTCTCAACGTCAACGGAAGTGTCCTCGCAGTGGTGATGGCTGTGTGCAGGAGGGTCTAGGCGGCTGAGACCGGAATGTTCAGGTGGAGGTGATATCAACATTTTCTACATTTTATGGGCAAAAAATGGCCCGGGGCACCGTCGCGTCCTTCACTTGACGGTGTATGTTGAATACAATTTATCGAGGTTATCCACCGCATCCCGGTTTGTACTTTTGTAGTGCAAGATGATTTCAGGGCTCTGCTGTCTGTGTTCCTTAAACAACGATTTTCAGAATGAATTGATGAGAGCTAAGCTATGGGCTATCAAAAATGTACCATATATTATACATTTCTTCGATGTAGGTTTCTGGGATCCAAACGGACCCCACACATTATTTCCGAAATAAAATTGAAACCAAACATGTAACTCTAACCCAATTGAGAAGAAGTAGCGACGACCCGGCCATTATGGAATCCAATACACCACACCACATTGCGCTCTTGGCCGATCCAAACTCTGCAATCACATCACCATCATCACAGCGAGGACAATTCCGGTATATAGATTGATATTGACAATGACCCTCCAGACAGCTGTTTCGCTCCTCCTGAGCTCATCCTTGGAGGCATATGACTTTGAATGATAAAATAATAAGAATAGACTGATTTTTATAGGGGTAAATTGGGGCAATTGCGCTCATTATGCATAGAAACGTGGCATACCCTAAGTGGCAAAAATGACAAAAGTGATAACAGGGCCAGGTGATAACCACATGCGCTCATGGCTGGGACAGGAACATGTAGCACGTGTGAAAAGGGGGGCGCAAAAAACAGCAGTCAGTCTAACACCAGAAAAGTTAGTTATTCCATGTCCCACGAAAACAAAGATACTGCGGCTGACTGTACTTACGGTATGCCATAGTGACGTGTGGGGGGAACAAACGAAGAAGCGAACTGGCCGACGCGGCAGACCAAGAGGCCCCTGAGGCAATCACTTTCCTGCCAGCCCGTCGCACACAGCCACACTACGCCGCCATATCACCTGACCTTGTTATCATTTTTGTCATTTTTGTCACTTAGGGTATGCCACGTTTCTATGCAGAATGAGCGCAATTGCGCCAATTTAGCCCTATAAAAATCAGTCTATTCTTATTATTCTTTCATTCAACATCATATGCCTCCACTGATGAGCTCAGGAGGAGAGAAACAGCTGTCTGGAGGATCCTTATCTATCAATCTATATATACCGGAATTGTCCTCGCTGTGGTGATGGTGATGTGAGTGCAGAGTTTGGATCGGCCAAGAGCGCAATGTGGTGGTGTGGTGTATTGGATTCCATAATTCTAAACCGGACAATTGTATTACCTCTGATATCCACTTGTTGAGGAATACCTGGAATATCAGGGAGATACAAGGAAGTATAATAATACCGAAACCTATACCCCTGGGGTCTGTGTGGACAGCAAAACTTGGGATGAGGGTCAAATATATTATTCACACTACTTCTTGTTCCTGCAGTGAGATTCCGTTGCCTAGTGCTACTCGCTGTAAAACTAAACTTTAAAACATGCGTGCATGTAGCCGTACTCCGGTTTCTCATGTCCATCGCAAACCATTTGTCAAGGTGCACTGCAACCATTTCATAGCATGGACAACCCTATACCAGCACACACGCCAGTCGTCTCTTTGCTGCAAAATTTCTTATTTTAATCTCAATCAATCAAGTTTTCGGCCAGGTGCCATTGTCATAAACCAGGCGAGGTACTGGTAGCCTTTTTGGTCTGTGCATTTATTTGTTCTTGTTCAGACGTACTTAGAGCAAGTACCTGAAGGTTTTGGTGGCACAGGAGTGCCCCCAGATTACTGTGTAGTTGATGGACCATACAGAAAAGGTAATTGAGCTTCCAACATTACTTACCACTCTGGTTTAAAATGCCCTATCTTCCAAGCTGATATCTAAATGCATGGTAGGATCGTTGAAGACGGTTTCTTTAGGCAACAATCGGACAACCTGTTGAGACCAGTGCACGTGCCCTGGGAAGTGATGATTCTCTCCCTTGCATCGTCTTTGTTTCCCTAGCCCCAGTCAGACAAGTGATCCCAAAGAAGCATAGTGAAACATGCTCTGTGTGCCTTTTGCAAGCAGGTATTATTGTCTTTTGTATCATGAACTAGAAAATACACTGTTCACTGACAGGACTAACCTGTCATATCGTACTGATGAGTTTGTTATTTTACAAAGGCCATCGAGATGTACTTGTTCAAATTTCGCATGTCACGACAACTTATTCTGTGCTGGCATATTATGAAGAATTGATACTTGTATGTCTTGTAATGATGATACGAGATCTCCAGCACTAGCGTCCATTAAGTTCATAATGGCTTCTCTCTGTCGTTCTTCACAGGGGAATACACCATACTAAAGTTCAGTTACAATGGCGTGGAGTTGCCTTACACGTCATGCTTAACACGGAATATGTCCTCCACAATGAAGCCTACATCGTACCTAGAGTTCAATACAATGTTGACTGTGCCTCCAGACAGCTCTATGATGTTTGAGCTAGGTAAACTGCGCTTTGAGATTTTATGATTTTCAAAAGGGAACGTGAGCTGGGTTTAAACCATTGTGAGACAGGAATCCTTTTCAAAGCAAAGAAAGGATGCACTACCACCTTTGGTACAGAACAACTTGATGTCGTATTGCTGGAATGCTAGAATTTGTGTTATTATAAATTTCAAATTTGTAATAATTATACTAGTAGTATTTGAACAAACGGCGAGGAGACAACAATTTGATAACCGCAATCAGTAATACAAGCTGGATCGACATTTGTGTACACTTTATTCGTGTAATGTAAAACTGTGGAGACAATGTGCAATAAAGGAATGAAAATGTGAAGAAATGTTGCAGAGAAAATGAGGATTCAGACAAGTTTTCGTACAACACTTATCAGGAATCTTCGTTGTACTAAAGGACAATGAAAACAAAATTGAACTATTATAGAAAATCTAAGTTAGAGAAATAACACTAAGAACAACAGCAGTGAAATTTACAAGTGTGAATTTTATCAATGAAAGCGAGAGCAATAACGAATGCGTGTACTGACACTAAACTTGCAACTGAAAAATGAACAGAAGAGAAAGGGACAAAGTGATAACAAATAACAGCAGTACAGTACACCTAGAAAATTAATGGCCAAGCTTGGCCGCATCAAACATGACACTTTACTTCAACAATTTCAACCCAATTATACTACCCTTCTGTACACACAAATTAGGCTTATACAGACGCTGACAGATGGCTTCCAAAACTTTTAACTGTAGTCCATAACCAGGACGACCACGGCACAATACAGTGAAAGAAGAGTCGGAATACGAATTGCAACAATCAGGACTAGCCAACAGATGATTTCACTGAAGACTTGCTACCACGAAACCTACGCACAACACTAGCATTCTCACCGGCACTCTCACGATCACTACAATCGTCGCTCTCCGACTCATTGCTCCCTTTACCGTCCGTCCCATTATCCGCTTCCTCTCGGCTCTCTCTGTTATCCCGCCTGACTTGGTCCATTGACCGGGACTCAGCCGTCACCCTGCTGTCACGTCCCTCCTTGCGCCCTTGTCCGTTGAGTGCGTAGCTTCTGTTGTAGTTGGCTGTTGATCGTCTTGGTCTTTCAATAGTGGGCTTGGATGGTGGATTACTTGTGTTTGCTGTATATTGCATTGTTGGTGATGGTGTGGGAGCTGCAGATACGCAAGGTGGGTCTTTTTGAGTTGGCGATTGTAGTGTTATTGCCATTGTCGATGTTGCTCGCGGTCTGAAACTGGCAAGCTCCACCGCCGCAAGAGCCGACGGCGGAGGATCAGGAGGAGGCAGTGGGACCGGGACCGCAAGCGGCACCACCCCAGCCCACTATTGAAAGACCAAGACGATCAACAGCCAACTACAACAGAAGCTACGCACTCAACGGACAAGGGCGCAAGGAGGGACGTGACAGCAGGGTGACGGCCGAGTCTCGGTCAATGAACCAGGTCAGGCGGGATAACAGAGAGAGAGCGGAGAGGAAGCGGATGATGGGACGGACGGTGAAGGGAGCAATGAGTCGGAGAGCGACGATTGTAGTGATTTTGAGAGTTCCGGTGAGAATGTTAGTGTTGTGCGTAGGTTTCGTGGTAGCAAGTCTTCAGTGTACAATCATCTGTTGGCTAGTCCTGATTGTTGCAATTCGTATTCCGACTCTTCTTTCACTGTATTGTGCCGTGGTCGTCCTGGTTATGGACTACAGTTAAAAGTTTTTCGAAAACTTGTCTGAATCCTCATTTTCTCTTCAACATTTCTTCACATTTTCATCGTTTTATTGCACATTGTCTCCACAGTTTTACATTACATGCATAAAGTGTACACAAATGTCGATCCAGCTTGTATTACTAGTAGTATTCTCTTTTAATTGTCCGCAAACTCCAACGCAGCCACTTACAGATTTAAACTTCACTTCTCAACTCCAAAAACGGTCTCAAAAGTCGTCATTACCGTGATGATGGGCCAGGCCCGAAAATTTGGTGTAATGTTAATTTTAATTTTGATTTTAATCGCAGTGAAGAGACCGATTTGGAGTTGAGAAGTGAGGTTTAAAAGTAGTACTCTCTGTAAATCCTTCTTGATTGAAAGGCCAGTCCAGTCCCTTTCCATGCCAGTGCCAGCCGGGGGGTGATGGATGGGGAATTCCCCAGCTCTTAAGGTGGCAGTTCCCCTTTTCCGTATACTACACTCTTTGGACCAGAAGTCATGAACAGCTAGGAATATCCAAACCAAACTTGGCAGTGATGTTGAGGGTGTTCATACCTAGGTTCAGAATCATTTTTCACACATCTCACATATCTTGAAGTGCCGAACTTGCTCTCAGCCAAAATGCGTTCATATCGCACGTACAGGGCAAGGATTGAGCCAAAAGAGAACAGAGGCTAATGGTACCCAGCAGTATTAATTTGCTCAGAACTCATGCAGACTGACAGCTCGAGGTGCTAAACTAGACTAAACCTTGCAAACATATGTACAGTGGAGCATTGTGATTTTCAATTTTACAGATCAGAAACGCGATGTTTACAGATAATTCAGAGGCATGCCAGTTGGAAGAACCTCGCTGGGATATTGACAGTTCTGTTTAGTTTAGCACCTAGCAAATTTCACGTAGATGTGAATAATGCCCAAGATTATGATTCTATGACAAGTAAGCCCTGAGATATGTTGGCTCAAGCTTGTCGGAGTCCATGAAAAAGAGGGTCAAATTCAGGAAAAAGTACACTCCAGTTTCACCTTTCAAAAGCCACCAGCAGCATATGTTTCTTCTTCCTTGTGCTGTGCTTGATCCAGAAACCCTTTCTTCATTGCTCTGCAATGCTTCCTTGCCTTTTGCTCCTCTTCTGACAACTTTCTACGCTTGTGGTACAGTTTTCCTCTTGAAAGACACCTAGATTTCTCTCCAACGACGGACTAACAGTGCACCCCATACACTGTACTACTTCGGCAAGCTCACTGTGGTCTTCATTGAACACGATCACTGCCAGGAACACAGCAGTCTCAACAGTTATGGAGCTACAGAACGATTCCTTTGGACAGAGATGTCAAATAGTGCCATTGAGTGCTTCATTGGCATTCTGTGTGGCACGGCGAACACAGCCCTGTAGGAGGGATTTGTCGGCAAGATGGACATATACAGGTTTAATTTCTTCAAAGACTGCAACAGGGATAGTGTTGTTTGACGATGAAGAAACTGCCACAGAAACATTGCCATATCCACACTTCTATTGCTGCCACCTGCACCCTGAGTCCTTCTGGGCAGAACTGATTGCATTTCTCGGCATCCTTGGACTGTACGTTGTGGCAAACAGATGCCCAAATAACACGGGCCATCGCTGTGACGAAGCCTGCAATCCTGCAGATAGCATTTCCAAAATAGTTTTGTAGGGAGTCTCCTTCCTTGTGCAGAAAGTACAATAGCGGGTCAACACTTCCACGTCCACAAAATGTGTGTGTCTCCCAAGCAATCACAGTCTGCATGCCATATAAGGAGCTGTATCCTCGTCGCATCCATGTTCCGTCCGCTGCGACGGCGATTTCGGCTGGCGATTCCTCCCCGGCTGCAACTCGTTGTGTGAACCCAACTTCAGCAGCATTATTCATGCTCAAACTTGCAGTAGCTTTAGCAGCTTGGTGAAGATTCTTCACGTGGCGCTGGTAGTTCTTCTTTGCAACCGGCGCTGGCAAATCGAGGAATGCACACAATTTCCGGAAATCCTCGCGGCCTCGTTCAAGCAGCCGCATAGCCAGTACGCTCTTTCTATTCAATTCAAAATAACTGGATGTCTTTCCCACTGCGGGCGGTGAAGCAACAGCAGTGCAGTAGTTGCATGCAACTTCAATTATGGAGACTAGGCCAGCTCTTACATTTTCTGCAAACTGCTGATGTGGACAATAAATTCTGCAATTAAATTTAATTTCTGCAAACTAAAATTCCGCTTGTTAGAATCCAGGACTTCATCACTCTCCTCACTCGAGTCTTCATTGGAGTCACCAGCGCTCTCGGTATCCTCATCTGCAAGTAAGTTCAGATCGCCAGCCAAGGGTTCACAGCTACGAGACGTGTCAGGTACTCCCAATTGCTCAGAGTCACATTCAGTTTGAGCACGAGATGCAGACTCGTTTTCTTTCTCCAGATCTCTGCGCTTGGGGCTCTGGAACTGGTTCCCGTAGAAAACACGCTTCTTGGCTCTGTAGTTAGCGGACTATCTCCTCTTATTGCCAATGACCAGAAGACAAAAGCTACAGAGAACAGCGGCCACGCCAATTTCCAAATTTTTCTGTACTTCCTTTGACGCGGATTTGCATTTTTTTTGTTCGTGCTGACAGTGTGACACCGTACCAGTGCTGACCTGCTGACTGTACTGCATGAGCTGAGTAGATGTACGGGTCGGTACGGGGTACAACTAAAAGCCAACACGGCACACACACACAAATAGCTGGCGGTCTTGGCACCCTCCGCGATCCACGCAGTGAACCGGAACGAAGATTGATTGCGCTTGCGAACTGCATTCAAAGTGGAGATCAGCTGATTTTTTACAAATTCGCAGTGGGAGTTGGTTTGAATTTTTAAAATTTCCCAACCGTCGTGTTGTTTACCGCATAAAAAATTACACCAGCGGAAAGTTCATCACTTTAGGAGGAAAATGAGCCGGATATGGCCTCATTCTGACAACTTTCATTTTTTGGTCCTTTTTTTGGACCCAAAAGGGGATCTGCCACCTTAAGGTGGCAGTCTGGGTTCAGAGGGTCAAAAAACAAAGTTTCGATTTTCTGTATTTTTTCACTGGCAGCGTCTTGTGTATGGTCCAAAGGGTTTATCCTGAAAATTTGAGCGTAATCGGGTGCTTCCTTCCGGAGATATAGCCGCGCAAAGTCTGCACAATTGTTTTTGAAATACTGAAATATCAGCAAATTTCTACAAAATTTAGGTTTGCACACTATTCCGATTTTTACCGTCAATCTTTGAGCGATTTCATTAAAATTTTCTGGAGCGACTCCTGGTACTCCTCTGCGCTGCAGACTGACAGCCGCGCACGATGTTTGTCACCATGGCAACCAAGATAACTTTTGCGCATGCGCAAATTCAAAAAAAATTCAAATTTCGACTCTCATGATCTCAGCTGATCGCTCTGCTGTTGAAACTTTTGGAGTAATTGTTTTGGAGTAATTGTTTCTTGGAGCTAACCCCTTCGTTGGCTACTATGGGGAAGTCTAGAGCCAAGGGAAAGCCCGGACGATCTAAGAAAAGGAAAAGAACGTTCTATGGAGTGTCTCAGGCGCCGAAGGCTCCCTCTGGTAAAATTTCGCCTGCAGAACAAATTCCTGACTTGCCACTGTCTGATGACGACCTTGAAGTGTCAGCTGAAGCCACGTCTTCAAGCAGCGATAGTGATGGAAGTGGCGGTGAAGTCGACAGCAGTTCCTCCGACAGTGACTTGGATGAAGAGTGTGAGGAAGGGGCGCATGGATTTCGCCTGATTGATCTCGAGTGCCTTCAGCAGCTTTTGTCAGCTGCAGTTTGTTGCAGTGGCTGTAATGGCGCAGTCACGATCAGCGAATCGCAACGGGGAGGCCTTGCATCATGCCTGGAGCTTTCCTGTGTTAACTGCGGCGACATAGCAAGCGAATTTATGTCCAAGAAGTTCAATCGGGTCTGGGAGGTGAACAGACGAGCAGTATTCGGAATGCGACTGATTGGCCGTGGACGTCAATCAATGGTAAAGCTGGCGGGTGCACTGAATGTGCCATCACCTATGAGTCGGTCGACATTTTACAGCCATGCTAAAGGCCTGCATTCCGCGTCCAAGAGCGTCGCTGAGCGTAGCATGACTGAGGCAGCTGAGAAAGCAGTGTCCGCAGCAGATGGGGGTAGCGATATCGCTGCTTCTTATGACGGTACCTGGATGCGCCGAGGATTCGCATCGCTCTTCGGAGCCTTCACTATAATTGCATATGATGTCGGCAAAGTGGTGGACTGCGAAGTGCTTTCAAAGTTTTGCCACAAGTGCACGCACTTGGCGTCTAGAAAAGAGAAGGGAGAGCTAACCAAAGATGACTATGATCGACAGATTGCCGAACACGATTGCTCAGTCAACACCACTGTATCAGCTCCTGCCATGGAGAGTGCAGCCGCCAAGACTCTGTGGGCCAGGTCCTTTGAGAGCCGCAAGCTGAGGTACACCACCTACATTGGTGATGGAGATACCAAGAGTTTTAAGGCTGTGCGTGACGCTTGTCCGTATGGGCCCGAGGTGCCTGTAGTCAAGGAGGAATGTGTCGGCCACGTTCAAAAACGCATCGGTACCAGCCTAAGAAAGCTGAAGAAAAACCTTGCGGGCAAGAAGCTTGCTGATGGGCGCACTTTAGGCGGACGTGGTCGCCTCACGGATGCCATGATCGACAAGCTGCAAGCCTACTATGGCATGGCTGTGCGGAACAACAGCGGAGACTTGCAAGCCATGGCCAGGGCCATATGGGCATCCCTCATGCATCGTGCATCCAGCGACAGTAAACCTCAGCACCAGTATTGTCCGCCTGGAATTAACAGCTGGTGTAGATGGCAGCAGCAACAGGCAGGTGGTGATGTCTACGCCCACCACAATATCCTGCCAGAGGCAGTATGGAAGGAACTGAAGCCGGTCTACATTCGGTTGTCCGACCGGAGTTTGCTCGAGCGCTGCCAGAAGGGTGCTACGCAGAATCGCAACGAAGCGTTCAATGGACTCGTGTGGCAGTTGTGTCCAAAGACAGGCTTTGCATCCGCTCCCACTGTCCAGATGTGCGTCTACCTGGCCGTGGCCTGGTTCAATGATGGAGGTGTGGCAGTGAAACGCGTTCTGGACGAGATGGGCCTCCCTACTGGATACCATACGACACGTCTCATCAAGCTGCTAGACCGTGAGAGACAGGCACATGCTGCCAGAAAGAAGTCAGAAGAAGGGAAGAGGTCACGAAAGAAGCGAAGGAGGATCAGGAAGGGCATCCAGGATGAGCAGCAAGAGGAAGAAGGTTTGACATATGAAGCTGGTGGCTTCGACTAAGTTCTAGTAAGTTCTAGTTGGACAGACATACCTCCATCTGTACTTGCACAGAGCACTTTTTTTCTCCATTTTCCACTGAGTCCCGTACCTCTTAGACAGCGTAGCAAAGAACCTGTAAGTCACAGACCCCATAAACCATACATTTTTGGAAACTGTGAGCATTTATCAAGGCGAAAGGCTAAAGGGACAAGCTTATCTATTTTTGCGGATTTCCTTTCATAAAAAATAAACGTCACAGGCTGCTCTTCGGAGGTGTCCGCGCCCCAGCGGTCCGGGCAAACGACCGCATCTCAGTGGGACACTTGTCCGTGTCCTTTGTACTGGAATCTGTGGGAGAGCCTTTCCAGGGACTACACACCTGGGTACCGGGTACCGGGTATGGACAAATCCCTGGCGCGCGGGGCTCCTTTTTTGTTCCTTTCCTTTTTATTTTGTTTTTGCTGAGAAAGAAACGTTGCTGGATGGAAAGCTTTCTGTTCCCGCCTAGTAAAACATTGCTGGCTGATAATGGTCATTGCTCGTGATGTCAACTTAGAAGGTGACGGGAAGCTGGGTTTCTTGCCATTTCCAACTTCCTGACTCTGAAAATGTAGCTTGAGCTACTTGTAAGAGCTCCAAATATTTCAGTTTTTCGATGAGCCAGACCTATTGTTGCGACCTGCAGAGATGAGGAGCAAGTGAGGCGTTGGATTAATGCCAATAATGGTGTTTATGGCTCGGACGACGCCAGCGGTTTTCACTTGTCAGGAGGACAGCCAAGTTGGAGCAGGCAGATGACAGATTATTAACTTTGAGCATTTATAGCAGAGTGGGTGGCTTGCCAAAGAGAATCGTCTCAGTGCTTCATGGTTACTAGTATCTGACAAATGCCTCTTACTGCTAGTCTGCACTAGAGCATTAGCAGAATTGATCATGTCACAAGTAGTGTCAAGACTTGATGTCCTACGATTATACTCAGATCATGTTGCTACTTCACGGGAATATTCGTCCTGCCACTGTGCACTCTTCCAGAATTGCATGCAGAAGTCACATGCCTGTCACATTTTGCAAGGGACAACGCGTTTGCACCGCTTACGGATTCAAGCGGATGGAGTGCAGACCAGATAAGAAGACATAATCCAGCTATTCAAATAGCTTGGGCTGCTAGACTCCTGGAAACATGGACAAGAATCTAAACCAGTCCACGGAAACAATATCACGCCACACAGGAAGCTAAATGGCAAACCAATCAAGTTCTTTGGTAATGAAGCCGTTCACCAACATTGTCCGGTTGCATGGCTAATGTCACTCAAACAAGACCAATGGATGCCACATGTACCTAAAAGATACGCTGTTGATCAACCACAACTCCAATACCACTGAGCAGCGTCTTCTATACAGATCCAATTAGATATTCAAGTACATGAGTGGAAGTTGCTGGTATAGTCTCTCCTAATGACCGCGTATTTGGCATAATGTTCTCTATACTACACTCTAGAGCTAATTACCCTTTCCGACATTGAACTCAGGCAGTGACCACTCGCCCGCAGAATGAGCCAATTGACACAGAAGCTAAGTACCATGTGCATCCGTCGCAAGAGAAACACGCAAGTCTGCAAGTGAAGTGGATGGACACCCACTGATTTTCTCTTATGCCGATCTCAGACATGACCTGAGTGAAATGTATGAAGACTTGCACCACATTACTGCACAATTCCATAATTATAATTATTGCGAGGCCTTGTGAAATGATTCTCAATGCGCACCTGGTCTACGCCACACGGAATACATCGGATTATAATCGCCAAGACAGCTGCCTATGTCTGTCTGTCTCTCTCTCTCTCTCTCTCTCTCTCTCTCTCTCTCTCTCTCTCTCTCTCTCTCTCTCTCTCTCTCTCTCTCTCTCTCTCTCTCTCTCTCTCTCTCTCTCTCTGTCCTTTGTGAACTCATCAGCGCAGCACAGAGAAAATGAGGCCGAACCTGATTGCAATGAAAAATAAATTTTCCAAAGCCAGATTTAATTTTCCACCTATCAACTCCCTTCTGTGTGTATGCGCGTGCATGGGTGCAGGGTATATGCGCACATATCTTTCTCTCTCTCTCTCTCTCTCTCTCTCTCTCTCTCTCTCTCTCTCTCTCTCTCTCTCTCTCTCTCTCTCTCTTCCTGTCTTTACCTGGTTTGTGAATCGGCTTTTTTAATCGGCTTTTTTTCGGCTCACTGTTTTATGAGTTCACCTCACTATAATATAGTATATAAACATATTATGTTTTTCTGCTGCTACCTACTTATATTATAGTAGTTGTCTGATGATCGTAGTAATATGTAAAACTCAGGGGTTGTGACACAGCTTCCAATCTCTCTTGTGTACTTCAGTATTAGAAACACAAGGAACGAAATCTCTTGTATCTGTGTGTCTCAACATGTTTCTTCGTCTGTCTGCCTCTATTCTATCAATCTCTCTCTTCCTCTCTCTCTCTCTCTCTCTCTCTCTCTCTCTCTCTCTCTCTCTCTCTCTCTCTCTCTCTCTCTCTCTCTCTCTCTCTCTCTCTCTCTCTCTCTCTCTCTCTCTCTCTCTCTCTCTCTCTCTCTCTCTGTATATATATATATATCTGTCGGTCTGTCTATCTCTCGTCTGTCTGTCTTTCTCCTTCTGCCTGTCTTTGGGAGTCTGCCTGTCTGTGTGCCTTTCGTCTGTCTATCTCTCGTCTGTCTGTCTTTCTCCTTCTGCCTGTCTTTGTCAGTCTGACTGTCTGTGTGCCTCTATGTTTCTCTCTCTCTCTCTCTCTCTCTCTCTCTCTTTCTGTGTGTGTCTATGTGTTTCTCTGAGTCTTCGTCTCGGTCGTTCTATCTGCCTGTCTGTGTAACTCTCCAACTGTTTCCCTGTCTCGGTCTGTCTGTTTGGCTGTCTCTGCTTGTCTCTCTAGGTTTGTCTGTCTGCCTGTCCCTGTATTTATGTCTCTATTTCTCTCTCTGCTTCTATTCCTCTGTCTCTCTTTGTCCCTCTCTCAGTCTCTTTTTCTCTGTCTCTGTGTCTTCTTCTTGATCTGCCTCTCTCTTTCTCTTTTTTCTCCTGTCTCTCCCTAAGAACCCTCTGTCTCTGGCTCTGACTCTGTCTCTGAGTCTTCGTGTCTGTCTCTCCTTTTGTCATTCATTATGCCTGTGTGTCCCTCTGTTTCTGTCTCTGACTTTCTATGTCTCTCTCTCTGTCTGTTTTTCTCCTGAGTCTGTGTGTCTGTCTGTCTCTCCTGTTTTTCCTTAAAATGTTTGTCCCTCTCTTTCTGTCTCCGTCTTTCTGGATCTGATCGTCTGTCTGTTCGTCTTTGTCTGTCTGTCTTTGTCTCTTTCTCTCTGAGTCCGTGTCTCTATTTGTCGCTCTTTATGCGCATCCCTCTGTTTCTGTCTCTGTCTTTCTGTGTCTGTCTGTCTCTATCTCTGTACCGGCCGCTGTTCTGCACATAATTTAATCGTGTGGCACCACGTACGTGGCTGTATATTTACCTATGCGTGGGACATTCACACCCAAACACACACACGCACACACACATACACATACATTGTCTGTCTTTGTCTGTTTTTCTCCTGATTCTGTGTGTCTGTCTCTCCTGTTTTTTCTTAATGTTTGTACCTCTCTTCTTGTTTCTGTCTTTCTGGGTCTGATCGTCTTTGTCTGTCTGTCTTTGTCTCTTTCTCTCAGAGTCCGTGTCCCTGTCGGTCTTTATGTGCATCCCTTTGTTTCTGTCTCTGTCGTTCTGTGTCTGCCTGTCTCTATCTCTGTACCGGCCGCTGTTCTGCACAGTCATAATGAAATCGTGTGGCACCACACACGTGGCTGTACATTTACCTATGCGTGGGACATTCACACCCAAACACACATACGCACACACACACACACACACATATATATACACACACATTATCTATCTCTGTCTGTTATTCTCCGGAGTCTGTGTGTCTGTCTGTCTCTCCTGTTTTTTCTTAATGTTTGTCCCTCTCTTTCTGTCTTTCTGGGTCTGATCGTCTTTGTCTGTCTGTCTGTCTCTTTCTCTCTGAGTTTGTGTCTCTGTCTGTCGCTCTTTATGCGCATCCCTTTGTTTCTGTGTCTGTCTCTATGTCTGTGCCGGCCACTCATCTGCACATATTGAAATTGTGTGGCACCACAGACTTGGCTGTATATTTACCTACCGTATTATCTCTAATATAAGCACGGTCCTTTATTTTTTCAATGTACCTCCACCCCGTGCTATTAATGGAGACGTTCCTTTATTGGAGACTGTTCCATTATTATTTCAACCTCATTACAGAGGCATGTTGCCATGCCAAATTCATGTTAGACACACACATTTCAGGGTTTTTTCGCCGGTACAGATAATGAATTTACACAGTGTGCTTATAATGGAGACTGAGCACTTTATTTTTTGAATGCCGCCCCAAGGTGTTCTATTATTAGAGACGTGCTATTATTGGAGACTGTGCTTATATTAGAGATAATACGGTATGCGTGGGACATTCATACACCCACACACGCACACACACACACACACACACACATACCCAAACATACACCTGGTACCTGGTAAACACTGCCATTACGGTCACGTGTCCCCTTGCGGGGTCGACAATATGGAACGACGAGCAACAGCAGTCCGCTGAGAGAGAGGTACTAGGTCAGGGACTCGGGGACCATACACACACACACACACACTCGTACGCTCGATCATACAAGTACATGTAGTACTGCAGAAGTCACATCTGAGATATTATTAAAACTCTCTCTCTCTCGCTATGCCTGCCGCTGTGCTGTCATACAGATAGTGAAATTGTGTGGCACAGAACACGTACATCACTGTATAGTTACCCACACGTAGGACATTCACGCATGCACACACGCACACACACAAACACACACACATGACCTGCAGCAAATAACATTTCATAGCTACAAGACCTTCAAAGAAAGTCATGGTGTCAAGAAGATATACAATGTCACGTAGAAGGATAATTGTAAAACAGCTTGCTGTCTGGAGCATTGGTAATATAAATTATCATATAATACATGTACATGTAGTAGGGATACTCTAGAGAGTCAAACTATCGGATAAATTAATGGCAAGCGAGAGTCTCTACTTTTTACAGTAGAGTGGGTGGGTAAAGTGTAACCAATGCTGGCAATGGATCATGTGTGAGC